TAGTGCCTTTTATTTCTTGTGCTTGCCTCATAGAAGCAGGTAGAACCTCTAGTACAATAATAAATAGAAATGGTAATAACGGGCAATCTTGTCTTGTTCCTAATCTCATAAGGAAATCCTTCAACATTTCATCATAGTCATGATTGTTGTAGGTTTTTTTAGTTATTCTTTATTAAATTAAAGAATTTCCCTTTTGTTTATAGCTTGCTAAACACTTTTCAAAAAAACATGTACACTGAGTTCTATCAAGTGATTTATCTGTATCCTTTAAAATAATCTTTTTTTCTATAAAAATTACATTGATCCCTTTTTAGTGTTAATTGCACACTTAAATTGAAGCAATAAACAGAAGTTGGTCATGATACATCATCTGATTTAAAGTTTCTGGGTTTGTTTTGCGAATATTTTATTTAAGACTTTTGCATCTACATTCAGAAATAAGATAGAGCTGTCACTATCCTTTGCCGTAATGTCCTGGTTAGGTTTTAGTATCAAAGGTATGGTAGCCTCATAAAACAAGTTGGAAAATATTCCCTTCTTGTCTGCTCTCTAGATAGGCTTAATAGAATTGTATAGTGAAGACCTGTAAATCTAGAGTGACTTTTGAGAGGGTTTTTAATTACTGATTCAATTTCTTCAATAGTCAAACTAATAATTTCTATATTGGACCTTCTAACAAGAAGTTGTGTCACTTTTCATAACAGATATGTGTTTTTCCAGGAATTTGTTAACTTAATCTAAATTACCAAATTTATCAACATGAAATTGTTTCTGTTTTCTTACAAATTTTCAGTGTTTGTAGGATCTGTTGTAATGTCTCCTTTTGGTTATTTTTCTTTAAATTTCAAACAAGAGAGATTTATTTTCACAATTTTGGAGACTAGAAGTCCAAGATCAAGGCATCAACAGTGTTAGTTTCTTCTGATCCTTTTTGTTCTTGATGTTAACTATTTCCTTCTTTTGTATTCTTGATCAGTCTCACAAGTTGTTTATCAATTTTACTAGTCTTTTCAAAAACACATTTTTGGCCATGTTAATCTTTATTCTGTTTGTTTCATTATTATTAATTTCTGCTCTCCTTTCTCTGTATTCTTCAGGTTTATTTTAAAGTCATTTTGTCATTTTTCAAAATTGTTACTGATATCATTTAATTTTTACCTTTCCTCTTGCCTACTGTTAAGTCTATAAATATGCCTATAATAATGATTTGTCTACATACTGTAATTTTTTATTATAATATTTTTGTTATCATTCCATTCAAAATATTTTCTTATAACCATTAGGATTTCTTCTTTGATTCATCAGTTACTTAAAAGTATATTTTTTTATCTTCCCAAAGCATAGATATTCTTATTATAATTTTTGCTATTATTTTCTAGCTTAGTGGCATGGGGTCTGAAAAAAAAAACTCTGTATGAGTTAAGTCTTCTTAAATTTGTTGAAATATGTTTTATTATTTCATTATATGATTGGTTTTTATAAAAGTTCCTGGTGTGCTTGATATTTTATATTCTGAGATTATTAGATTCACTTCATACATGACAGTTAAGTCTGTTACATTGTTAAGATGTTCTATATCTTTAATTTAAATAAATATATATATATCTCCATCTATGGTTGCAGATCTATTTTTCCTTGTAATTCTGTTAACTTCCGCTTTGCAAAACATCTGGATGAGTGTTACTCCTAGGAATCTAGGGTGTTTACCAATATCCCCATCTTTGGTAGGCCTTGAACTGCTACTTTTTCTCTTAGGCCCATGAGTCTATAAAAAGTACTACTCAGTAGTGGGGCACCTGGGTGGCTCAGTTTAAGTGTCTGACTTTGGCTCAGGTCACAGTCTAACAGTTTGTGAGTTCAAGCCCCGCATCAGGCTCTCCGCTCTTGAGCCTGCTTCAGATCCTCTGTCCTCCCACCTCTCTCTCTGTTACCCCACTCTCTCTCTCTTTCTCAAAAATAAACATTTTTTAAAAAGTGCTATCCAGTACTAACAAGCACTCACTAAGTACCTGATTAACTCTCCAGTGTCTTCAAGCAAAGGTATTGGGATTTTGTCTAGCTTTTCTAGTTCTGATTAAAGGGAAGATTTGTCCAAAAACCTAGTGCTCTATTACCAAAGGCAGAAGTTTGAACTCAAAAACTAAAAATGTTTTTAGCAATAAAATGCCTTGTGAAATGAGCTTATATGGGAGCTCAGTATATGAAATATAGAAACACATTTTAATTCTAGTATCTACATATATCATATATATATATGACTATTTAATTCTAGTATATATATATCATATGTGATATATATAATATATATGACTATCTGGGTTTATATAGACATTCTATTTGCTTAGTTATGAGGCTACCTCTAAGAAATGGCTTTCCACTTGGTAAGCCTATTAAATTATTATTTTTCTAAGACTGCAAGATTCAAGGCTATTCTCTTCCATGGAATGGGTGCCATATATACTTTAAAGCCTCTTAAGAAAGATCATGCACATTTTTGATAAAGATAAACATGGTCCATAAACCTGACTGATGTTATCTCTATTTTCTTCTCTTTCAATTTTACAGATAAATTAGCTAAATTTATATTTCCTCATAAATTATTTAGGTATACCCTATATGTTATTTTTATTAGGTGTATATTAAATTAAAATATTAATTTATACTGTTATGTAACTTCATAAATGAAATGTATCTATGTATTAATAAATATAAGTTAAGTGACTTCAACATATAAAGTAAAATGCTATAGGTTCCTGACTGACAAGGGAGAGAAGATATGGCTAGTTTCACATGGTTTTAAATTAATGTGACACTGACTTGGGTTTTAATAGCTAGATATTAGAACGACATGTTCATTTCTCTCTCCTCCTTGTGTTTCCAAGTAGAAGAATTTCCACCAAATTTCTGGCCTTTTACCAGAAGTGAGTTATCTGATTTTCAGGTTTAAAGTTTATTTATTTATTTTTAGAGAGAGAGGGAGGGGCTGAGAGAGGGAGAGACAGAGAATCCCAAGCAGGCTCTGTGTTGTCAGCACGGAGCTCAGTCTGGGGCTCAATCTCACAAACTGTGAGATCATAACCTGAGCTGAAATCAAGAGTTGGATGCCTAACTGATGGAGCCATTCAGGTGTCCCTGATTTTCAGGTTTAAAAAAAGGAACCATGTGTATTTGGCTTGACCCCCTTCTCTCGTTGGATCAGTCTATTTGCAGAAAGGATGCATCCTTACTTGTTCTTTACCCAACACTAACAGAACTAGACTTTATGGGGTAGTGTGGAAGGTTTGGGTTGATCTAGCTCTGCCTATGACTGGATCAGTACATTTAATTCTCAAAGTCAATTTTAGAGAACTCACTTGGATCAAATCTACACCATGTCCCCTAATGTAGCATTACTCAGTAATGAAGCCACATTCTGATGATCATCTGTCTGATTCCTACATTTCTCTCTCAAATGGTGCTGGACTTGGGCAGGAATAGAGGGTGTGTTTACTAACCTTTGTGCCCCAAAATGCTTATAATCACCATACTTGGGTTATACTGAGCATTTATCAGAAGTCTAGAACTCAAGATTCCAGAGTCAAGAATATCTCTTCTGACCACAAAAAAGGGGGAGAAATTAAAAAGGCCTGAACCAACTGCAAGGTGTAACTGCTTCTTACAGAGTGACCTCATTCTACTTGGGCTGCCTACAAAAGTTCTAAGATCCCTCAACAGAAAACGGGTTACAAAATCTGTAATTGTACGTGTGACATTAAAGATTTTGAAGCCATCCTTCCTAGACTGGAACGTAAGATTTTCCTGATCATCCTCCTAGAGTATCACTCTTTAAAATGAAGCGTCTTCATTTACATGTTGTAATGTCTTAATAATGACCATCATTCTTTCAAATCATTGGAAAATATTAATGAAAGTAGTATTTTTATTTCAATAATTTGCTTCAGTCAAACCATGAAACTAGAATAATTGCTTTGATCTTTATGTATTTCAAATATTAATGGCTAGCTTTACCTTTACCATTGTTCTGATCCATCATCTTCTATTTGCCGGGGCAGAGTTGAAATATGTTAAAGGTAAGGCAACAGTCAGAATCCAATACAAAGATTAAAAATACATCTTTCAATAATTTTTGTGAAATATATTCCAAGCCAGTCTGCTGTTATAAGTCAGAAAGTTAGCTTTATTATACTCCCTGTGATTTTCATAATAAACAGATTAATTTCTAGGTGTTTCAAAAGGAAATCCAAGCTAGAGTGGTTCCATTTTCCTCATTGCCTGTTCAGCTGTTAGTTGAATACTATTATCTTTTGATTATCACTTAGTTTTTCAAAGTCATGGTTTTTTCTCCTCTATCTTGAGAAGTACTTCAACGTATATATACTAAAAATTAAGTCACATATCCATCTTTAATTCTAATGGGAACTATGATTGTCTAAAATGTACTTCTTTTGTACTCTGTGTATTTTTGCAGCTTAAGAACAATATTATTTTTTTTATTATTTGGAAAACTACCTATTTTAACTGGACAATATTTATTAAAGTTCAAATTTTAAATGGAACTTAACAAAATTCACCTCCCATAGATTTGTTTGGTAATGAAGGGGGTATTGGAGACATACTTAACAATAAAAAACTAAAGGCATCTTCTCAGCTTATCAGGCTGAAGGATAAACCTGAAATATCCATATTGGGGGAAAAAAGTTTATTACCATTTTTTGGATGCTTTTACTTGGCTTTTGAAAGCAAAAGTATATAAAGCAAATAATCTCATTTCCATGTAGGTTATTTCTGTCACCTTCAGGTTTGTGATTGCTGTCCTTGTTTGGTCCTTCAAAGGTAAAGCCTGTGCAAATTAAAAGTCTTTTGTAGATAACAGCATGTATGAATTTTCGGTCTTTAGCTTTTTCTCTAGCTATATAAATGAAAAGATACTTTCAATTTCAAACTGCATTGCGGCATTACTTTATATAAAACTCACAGGGTGTAGAAATGTAAACAAGTACCTGGAATTGCTCCAATCTGTACCAGTGCCTGAGAATGATCCTCTTGTGTCAGTTGCATATTTGTAAACCACTAGCAGGCACTGTTTACAAAGCTCAACCAGGCGCTGGCAACATTGGAGCTGCAAAGGAGTCACCACCTCAGGGCTTTTACTGAAAATACTCTCCCAAGAGGATCTGTTGGCATAGAAACAGACATGACCTCATGTGGCTGTTAAAAATGGCAACCAGCTTTATCATTTACCTAGCAACAAACCAATAAGGAAAGTAGAAATGGCCTCGGTATATTTGAAGTGACTGCGGATGCTTGAAAGGTATAAAGTAAATATATTTGAAAATTAATCTTTATATTATAAAACACAACATAGAATTCATGTACTATTTGTATCTAAAGACTACTGATACCAACCATGGGTAGCAATCACCATGGCTTCCCAACACCTCCTATAAATTTCTGTTACTCTGTATTAAAGTATATGTAGAATATTGAGCTTATTTCTCAAACATTAGGTATTCTAAAACTTTAGGCTAAAATCTTTTTTATCTTTACCTTTATGTCAATAGTAATCCCAAGATCTGAGGAGTTAAGATGGTGGAATAGTAAGGGGACCCTATGCTTGTCTCTTCCCTTGAACACAGAAAGACCAACATCAAACCATTCTGAATACCTAGGAAATAGATCTGAGGATTAACAGAACAATCTGCATAATTTGAGGGAGAGAACAGGCAGAGGCAGGTACGTGATGCAGACAGGTGAACTGGGTGAACAGAGAAAAGCTGTCGTGCTGCAGGGGGAGGGAGCTATTTTCATGGGGAGGAGAAAGACAGGTGGGGAGAGAGCAGCACTCAGGTTTGCCTAAGAAAGCACTCCCCCTGAAAGCAGCTAAAGAAGAAGAGTGAAAACACCTGTAGGGGACTGCACAAGAAAGTGGTTACCTAAAACCATTTACTGGAGGGAGAGGGGGAGAAGGTTTCAATACTGCCAGTTTTTAATAAACAGCAGAGCACAGAGTCAGAAGTTTCAGAGATCAGCCTCTGGTGTTGCCTAGGCCATAGGAGTAGGCAACTGGCCTAAGGATCCCCTATGTCCCATGGGGAGAAATCGTTTCCTGGTTTGGAGTGCATTTGGTAGAGATGATACAACCTCTCTGTGGGTAAAAGACAAGGTGGGCACCATCAAACTGCCACCAATATAGGAACAAAGATGCCAGCTGAGGGCAGCAAACCCTGGCACCAGCTGTGTGCTGTGATTTACCATAAACTCTGAGCCACTGCCACTGTGTGGTGGCAAGACCATTTCCTGGGACAAGCCAGCCACAGGGCAGTGAGACTCTCCCCCAGAAGATCACTGAGGGTCTAAACTGCAAAGGTCTCTGAGGTGTGGGGTTTTGAAACAACTGTGCCTGAGATAAAACTCTGGAGAGAGGCACTGTTTGATAAGTGCTCAGGCACAGACAAGGGTAAGGCAGGGAGCTGATGGAAGCAGGGGACAGAGGAGGGGTGACTGATCATGTATTTGTGAGGGTGCAAATTTCCTTCTCTGGAGACTAGAGAGCGGGGTGAAGCCATTTATCATTATTAGCCGACCAACACTGATCCATCCCAGTGAGCTAAACAGGACCTCCAAGTGGAGAACAGAGCCATTACATCAAGCCCTGCACCCCTGTGGCCTCCAGCCACATCTCCATTGGGGCAAACTGGCCTGAGAATCTGAGCAGCAGGCCCCTCTCCAGAAGACCAGCACAAATCCTTTCCAAGAGTTTCATCTACCATAGACTATAGCAAAGTTTCAGCTCTAGGGGAAACTGGATGTAGTTTCATTTGTTTTTTTGTTTGTTTCTTTGTTCATTTGCTCATTTTGTTGTTGTTGCCTCTTTTTGTTGTTGTTGTTTCTCTTTTGTTTCTTGGATACAGAATGGACACTTTTTTAAATTTAAATTTAATTTTTTAAAAAATTTTCCTCTCTTCTTTTCTCTTTTCACTTTTTTCTGTCAAGCTTCTCTTAACAAGCAGACCAAAACATACCTAAGCTCTAGCTTCCTTTGATTTTAAAAGTTTTTACAATTTTATTCCATTCTATTATTATTGTTGTTGTTTTCTTCCTCCAAAATGAGAAGATGGAGAAATTCACCTCAAAACAAAGAACAGAAAGAAACGATGGCCAGAGATTTAATCAATGCAGATGTAAGTAATATGTCTGAACTAGAATTTAAAACAATGATTATAAGGATACTACCTGGGCTTGAAAAAAGCATTGAAGACACCAGAGACTCTCTTTCTGCAGAGACAAAAGAACTAAAATCTAGTCAGGCTGAAATTAAACATGTTATAACTGAGATGCAAACCCAAATGGAAGACATAAAAACAAGGATGGATAAGGCAGAGGAGCAAATAAGTGATAAAGATGATAAAATTATGGAAAATAATGAAGCTGAAAAGAAGAGGGAAACAAAGGTCAGGGATCACAAAGGCAGACTTGGGGAACTCAGCAATTTATTGAAACACAATAACATTTGTATCATAGGAGTTTCAGAAGATGAAGAGAGAGAAAAGGAAGAAGAAGGTTTATTTGAGCAAATTATAGCTGAAAATGTCCTTAATCTGTGAAGGGACACAGACATCAAAATCCAAGAAGCACAGAGAATTCCCATTAAATTAAAAAAAGCCAGCCATCGCCAAGATACATAGTCAAGTTCACAAAATACACAGACAAGGAAAAAGTCCTAAAAGCAGCAAGGGAAAGAAATCCTTAACCTACAAGGGAAAACAGATAAGGTTAACAACAGATCTGTACACAGAAACCTGGAAGGCCAGAAAGGAGGGGCAAGATATATTCAATGTACTGAATGGAAAAAATATACAGTCAAGAATACTCTATCCAGCAAGGCTGTCATTCAAACTAGGAGAGATAAATAGCTTTCTAGACAAACAAAAACTAAAGGAGTTTACGATCACTAAACCAACCCTACAAGAAATTTTAAGGGGGACTCTGAGGAAGGAAGAAAAAAAAAAGACCAAAAGCAAAAGCAACAGAGATTAGAGAGGAACAGAGAGCATCATCAGGTAACACAATGGCACTCAATTCATATCTTTCAATTAACATTCTGAATATAAATGGACTAAATGCTCTAATCAAAACACGCAAGGTATCAGAATGGATAAAAAACAAGATCCACCTATATCCTGCATACAAGAGCATTTTAAAGCTAAAGATACAGGCAGATTGAAAGTGAGGGGATGGAGAACCATCTCTCATGGTCCTGGAGTCAAAAGAAAAGCAGTGTAGCCATACTTAATCAGACAAGATTTTAAAACAAAGACTGTCACAAGAAATGAAGAAGGGCATTATATCATAATGGCCCTATCCATCAAGAAGATCTGACAAATGATTTTTGCCCCCGACTTGGAAGTACCCAAATATATAAATCAGTTAATGATGAAAATAAAGAATTCAGTAAGGTCGCATGATATAAAATCAACATGAAGAAATCTGTTGCATTTTTATACACCGATAAAGCAGAAGAAAAAGAAATCAAGGGCTTGATCCCATTTGTAATTGCACCAAAAACAATAGATACCTAGGAATATATCTAACTAAAGAGGTAGAAGATCTATACTTCTGTCTATCTAAACCACAGAACACACATGAAAGAAATAGAAGAAGGCACCAAAAAATGTAAAAGCATTCCATGCTCATGGACTGGAAGAACAAATATTGTTAAAATGTCAATAGTTCCCAAAGCAATCTACCAATTTAATGCAATCCCTATCAAAATACCACCAGCATTTTTCACAGAGCTGGAATAAACAGTCCTAAAATTTGTATGGAACCAGAAAAGACCCCAAATAAAGTAATGTTGAAAAAGAAAAACAAAATTTGAGGCATCACAATTCCAAATTTCAAGCTATATTACAAAGCTGCAGTCATCAAGACACTATGGTACTGGCACAAAAACAGACACATAGATCAGTGGAATAGAGTAGAAAACCCAGAAATGGATCCACAACTATATGGCCAACTAATCTTTGACAAAGTTGGAAAGAATATCCAGTGGAAAAAAAGACAGTCTCTTCAACAAATGGTGTTGGGAAAACTGGATGACATTATGCAGAAGAATGAAACTGGACCACTTTCTGACACCATACACAAAAATAAATTCAAAATGGAAGAAAGACCTAAATGTGAAACAGAAAACCATCAAAATCCTAGAGGAGAAAAGAGGCAATAACCTCTTTGACCTCAGCTGCAGCAACTTCTTACTAGGCAACACTGCTGAAGGCAAGGGAAACAAAAGCAAACACGAACTACTTATGTTTGAGACTTCATCAAGTGAAAAGGTTTTGCACAGTGAAGGAAACAAACAACAAAATTAAAAGACAGTCTAAAGAATGGGGGAAGGTATTTGTGAACAACATATCTGTTAAAGGGTTATTATCCAAAATCTAGAAAGAACTTATCAAACTCAACACCCAAAAAAGAAATAACCCAGTTAAGAAATGGGCAGAAGACACGAATAAACACTTTTCCAAAGAAGACGCCCAGCTGGCTAACAGACACATGAAAAGATGCTCAACATCACTCATCATCAGGGAAATACAAATCAAAACCATGATGATATACCACCTCACATCTGTCAGAATGGCTAAAATTAACAACACAAGAAACTACAGGTGTCGGAAAGGATGCAGTGAAAGGGAATCCTCTTGCAGTGTTGGTGCGAATGCAAATTTGTGCAGCCACCCTGGAAAGCAATATGGAGGTTCTTCAAGAAACTAAAAATCGAACTACCATAGGATCCAGCAATTGCACTATTAGGTATTTTCCTAGAAGATATAAAAATACAGATTCGAAGGAGTACATGCATTCCAATGTTGACAGCAGCATTATCAACAATAGCTGAACTATGGAGAGAGTCCAAATGTCCATCAACTGATGAACTGATAAAGAAGATGTTATATGTATATTTAATGGAATATTACTCAGATATCAAAATGAATGACATCTTGATATTTGCAATGAGATGGATGGAGCTAGAATGCATTATCTTAAGGGAAATAAGTCAATCAGAGAAAGACAAATACCATACGATTTCACTCATATGTGGAATTTAAGAGACAAAACAGATGAACATATGAGAAAGGGGGTGGGGAAGAGAAGAGAAGGAAACAAACCACAA